ACCTTGATACCAAAGCCAGGAAAGGACACAACAAAAAAAGAATCTACAGACCAATATACCTTATGAATATAGATGCAAACATCCTCAACAAAATACTAGCAAACCAAATTCAACAACACACCAATAATCCACCATGACCAAGTAGGCTTCATGCCAGGGATGCAAGGATGGTTCAACATATGTAAATCAATAAATGTGGTTCACCACATAAACAGAAGCAAAAATAAAGATCACATGATCATCTCAATAGATGTGGAAAAAGCATTCCACAAAATCCAGTACCTTTTAATGATAAAAACCCTCAACAATTTGCATTTCCCTGAGGATTAGAGATGTTGAGCATTTTTTCATATGTTTCTTGGCCCTAAGTCTATCTTCTTTTGAAAAGTTTCTGTTCATATCCTTTGCCCACTTTTTAATGGAGTTGTTTGATTTTTTCTTGCTGATTTTCCTGAGTTCTATACGGATTCTAGTTATCAGCCTTTTATCGGATGTACAGCACGCAAACTCCAGTAAGAATGGCTTTTATCAAAAAGTCCCAAATGTTGGAATGGATGTGGAGAGATAGAAACACTCATACATTGCTGGTGGGACTGCAAACTAGTAGAACCTCTATGGAAAGTAGTATGGAGATACCTCAAAGAACTAAAAGCAGAACTACCATTTGATACAGCAATCCCACTACTGGATATCTACCCAAAGGAAAAAAAGATATTCTATAAAAAAGACATCTATACTTGAATGTTTATAGCAGCACAATTCAAAATTGCAAAGATGTAGAAACAGCCCAAGTGCCCATCAATACATGAGTGGATTAATAAAATGTGGTGTATATATACCATGGAGTACTATTCAGCCATAAAAAATGGTGAACTACCTATTGTAGTATCCTGGATGGAGCTGGAGCCCATTCCTCTAAGTGAAGTATTCTAAGAATGGGAAGAAAAAACCACCACATGTATGCACCCTTAAATTGGTACTAATTGATCAACACTAATGTGCCCACATAGGAAGTAACATTTACAGGGTGTTGGGCAGGTGGGAGGGGGAGGAGGGGATGGGTAAATTCACACCTAATGGATGTGGGGTACGCTGTCTGGGGACAGGCACACTTGTAGCTCTGACTTGAACAGTGCAAAGGCAATTTATGTAGCCAAAGCATCTGTACCCACTTAATACTCTGAAATGAAGAAAAGAGAAATGGACAATTTTTACTAACCAGTAAGTAACTGAAAACATTCATATTAAAAACAAATCCTTTATACGTATGTATATGCATGCAATAAAAAGTTTTCTTCAAATTAAAAAAAAACCTCCATAAATTAGGCATAGAAGAAATATATCTCAAAATTATAAGATCCCTATATGCCAGACTCACAGCCAACACCATACTGAATGGAGGAAAGTTGAAAGCATTACCCCTAAAATCTGGAGCAAGACAAGAGTTCCCAGCGTCACCACTTCTATTTAACATAGTACCAGAAGTCTTAGCCAGAGCAATCATCAAGAGAAAGAAATAAAAGGTATCCAAATCAGGAAATAGGAGATCAAACTATTGCTTTTCATTGATGATGTGATCTTTTGAAAATCCCAAATGTTCCACCAAAAGACTCCTAGAATTGATAAATTCAGCAAAGTCTCATGTTATAAAATCAATGTACACAAATCAATAGCATTTCTATATACTAATAACAGTCAAGCTGAAAGTCAAATCAAAGACTCAATACCATTCACAATAGCTACAAAGAAAATAAAATACTTAGGAATATACTTAACCAAGGAGGTGAAAGATGTCTACAAGGGGAGCTGTGAAACACTGAGGAAAGAAACTGCAGATGTCACAAATGAATGGAAAAACATATCACGCTCATGGATTGGTAGAATGAACATTGTTAAAATGTCCATACTGCTCACAGTGATTTACAGATTCAACACAATCCCCATCAAAATACCTATATCATATTTCATAGATCTAGAAAAAATAATTCTATGCTTTGTTTGGAACAAAAAAAAGAGCCTGAATAGGCAAAGTAATCTTAACCAAAAAGAATAAATCTGGAAGTATCACATTACTGACTTCAAATTATACTACTAGGCTATAGTAACCAAAACAGCACAGTATTGATGAAAAAATAGAGACACAGACCAATGGAAGAGAACAGAGAACCCAGATATAAAACTATTTACTTATAACCACCTCATCTTCAACAAAGCAGACAACAAAATACACTGGGGAAAGGAAGCCCTATTCAATAAATGTTGCTGGGAAAATTGGATAGCCACATGCAGAAGAATGAAACAGGACCCCTATCTCTCATCATATACAAAAATTAATTCAAGATGGATAAAAGACTTAAATGTAAGCCATGAAACCATAAAAATTCTAAACGAAAATGTAGAAAACGCTCTTCTAGACAGCAGCCTAGGCAAAGAATTTATGACTAATACTCCACAGGCAATAACAGCAACAACAAAATAAATAAATGGGAGTTAGTTGATTAAGTTAAAAGGCTTCTGCACAGCAAAGGAAATAATCAACAGAGTAAACAGACAACCTACAGAATGGGAGAAAAATATTCCCAAACTATATATCCATTAAAGGGCTAATATCCAGAATCTACAAACAACTCAAACAAATCAGCAATAAAAACAAATAACCCCATTAAAAAGTGGGCAAAAGACATGAACAGAAGTTTTTCAAAAATGCTCAGCATCACTAATCAACAGGGAAATACAAATTAAAACCACAGTGAAATATCTCCTTATCCCTGTCAGAAGGGCCATTATTAAAAAGTCAAAAAACAATAGATTGTGGCATGGATGCAGAGAGAAAGAAACACTTATACACTGTTGGTGGGACTGCAAATTAGTGCAACCTTTATGGAAAACAGCATGGAGATTCCTCAAAGAAATAAATATAGACTTATCATTTGACCCAGCAATCCCACCACTGAGTTATCTACCCACAGGAAAAGAATTCATTTTATCAAAAAGACATCCATGCTCAAATTTCTATTGCAGCACAATTCACAATCACAAAGATGTGGAATCAATCTAAGTGCCCATCAATTCATGAGTGGATTAATAAAATGTGGTATATATGTATATAGCATGGAGTACTACTCACCCATAAAAAGGAATTAATTAATGTCTTTTGCAGCAGTTTGGATGGAATTGGAAACCATTATCCTAAGTGAAGTATGCCAGGAATGGAAAAACAAACACCACATGCACTCTCTGTAACTGGGAACTAATCAATGGGCACACATGGAAACAGAGAGAAGTAAAAGTCATTGGAAATCAAGAAGGAGGGAGGGGGCAGGAGAGGAGGGGTAAAAACCTACCTAACAGTTATAATGAACAGTATTTGGGTGGTGGGCACACTAAAAGCACTGACTCAAGCATTACAAAAGCAATTCATGTAACAAAAACATTTGTATCCCCTTAGTATTTTGAAATAAAAAAGAAAGAAACTGTATGTTCAGACTCTGAATCTAAAGTCTCTACAATCAAGGATATGAATGAATAATGTCTGATTTTCCTGTTTGGTATATGAATTTCAAGAGCTCTCCAAAGCATGATCAGATTGTGAAAAGAAAATTTAAAAACTGTTGGAACCCCCAAAACTCTTTAAGTCTTGAGAGAGATGTGACTGTGAGCTGAGTCAGGTAACATGTTTGCAATTCTGCTTCTTAGATTATAGCTTAATTCTTCCTCATTGTTTTTGTTCTGTAAACTATTAGGAAAGACCAGAGACCAGACCTCTGCCTTCTAATTACTGATCTTTGTTATAGATTAACTACTTCCTTTATTGTCCTGTACCCAAGTCAGACCAAATGACACTGGAACAGGGACTCCGTGACAGTTACATCTTCAGTGTGGAATGTTAAATGTACCTTTCCCGAAAGAAAAAGACCACCTCAACTAATTAGATCATTGCAAGTATGCATTAAGCCTTACATAGAAAGATGTTGAAATTCTGCTAAATTTCCCTGAAGTTTGTCTGTATAAATGATGCTGAACTTTTACATTTTGGAACACTGACTTCCATTCTTTGGAATCTGTGCTTCCCAGGTGGGTCCATCTTCAACCTCTGCTCTTGAATAAACTCTCTTTAAACTAAATTCTGGCCTTTTTGATTATTTTAGGTTGACAAGATCAAAGAACTTACAGGAAAAAGGTAGACAAAGTCTCTCTAATAAAGTTCTCTCTACTCCACACTGACTTCTGCCCTTACAAGAATGTAATCCAGTTGCAGTGCTGTGTTAGGTAGAGCTATGGAACTATTAATAACAACGGCGAGGCACTGGGAAAAAGAAAAAACAAAACAAAACAATGAAAGCTGTTTCATTTATTAAGTGATGATGACACGACCAAGTGAGCATGTCTACTATACCCTATTTTAAGACTAAAAAATATTAAATTTGTACATTACTAGAAAACTCTGGAAATGTAAAGAACTGCTTGCATATTTAGGGAGCTCTTTTGGATGCCATACTCAAATCACCCTGAAATCAAAGCACCCCTCTTTCCTGGCAAGGCAGAGGCGACGAAAAAAAAGGAGGCAGGTCTCATGGGCTCGGCAACCCACGCGCCAGCCCGTCGGCGCCCCGAGAGGCTCGCGGCCCCCTGACCTGTCCAGGGCCTCGACGGCGGCGCTCCCGGCCATCCTCCTGGGGGACCGACCAGCTGGGGGCACCGGCTGTGGCCGCGGGCCCGCGCCGACCGACCGGGGAGCTCTGGCTGATACTCACCCGCTGGGAATACTCTCCTTCTTCACCATGACAAGAGAGGTGTGGGGCCCCCACGACCCAGGGAACCCCGCTCTCAGGCCTCTTCCAGAGCAGAGCCCAGGGGCAGCTACGGCCATTGTGGCACCCACGTAGGCTGCGGGTGACCAAAGCCGGTGGCTCCCGCCAGGCGCGCGGACAGAGACGAGGGCGGGAGTGACAGACTCTGGCGCCTCAACGCGAGCCACAAGCCGGGGGAGCGACGAACAGATGAACCGGACAGAACATTCCCGAAGGCGCACCGCCGGAGAGGGGACGCATCGCGCATGCTCCTGGGCCGCCGGGAGCGCCAGCCGGGCTGAGGGCGTGAGGGGCGGGCGTCAGGAGCGGTGTCGGTCGGTTGGTGAGTGTTCCCAGTCCGCGGTAAATCCTCCGTCCTGCCTCTGCTGCCCAGACCTAACAGAAGTGCGCTGTTCATCGAGGTGAAAGTCGTGCCGCCTGTTATGAGTCCTCGGATCCTTCCCCGTCAGTCCCTCCGGCACCGGGGTCTGCGGCTCTGCGCTGTGGGAAGGACCGGCGGGCCGGTGTAGCCAGGGCCGGAGCCGCGCGGGCCGCCGGGACTTGGAAGTCCGCAGGGCCGTCCGACCCGTTAGTCATTCCCTTTGGGAATTAATAGGGTTGAAAACCGCTGCTTTTTACAGCGTTTCAGAGCAGTGCTTGATTTGCATCAAATGCAGGTCAGCATATTGAATGCCTACTGTGTGCTGAACGCCTTGCTAGGACTGGTGGGTGTAGGCAAATTCATGTCGCAGCCCTCGTCTGGGGTAAGCAGAAGGATGAACTTGCAAGGTAGAATGTAATGCACAAAAATTAACAATACAAACTGTAAGTGCTATTGGAAGTCAAAGGCCAGAGTCAGAAAAAACTTCCTGGAAGATGTGGAGTTTGAATCAGGCTTTGAAACACGGAATGCTCTCCATTAGGGGAAAGTTGCAAAAATCAAAGGATGGAGGTGTCAAGGGACTGTAAACAAGAGTTTGAGCCTGCTGTAGTTAAAGGTTGTTGTTGGAGAGTGGTGAGCGAGGCTTAGCTGGGGAAGTGGACATGAGGGTCCTTTGACTTCACTTTCAAAAAGGGCCTTTGAGTTGACTTTTTCTCCAACTGACGGCTGTAGTATCGGCACAGAGATAAATCTACAGGTTTGAATAAAAGACATCACAGGATTTAAATGTGTCGAGTTTCTGGACCTCATGGCCCATGGTTGCTCTATCAATTAGTACATCTTTATAAATCTTGTAATTAACTTGTGAATACCATAACTACATTGCATTGTATGTGTTAGATATAAACTTTCAAAATACGGTACTACCTGTTTCCACATTTATTCAACTTTTCTGCAGCAGAAGTCCCCAAAAAGGGAATTAAGTACAAATCTTTCTTGATCTACAAGCCTTGGTTCTGAGAGCAGTGGGTGATTTAGTTTTGATGGCATTCAAAGACATGTATAAATTCACAGATGAGAAAATCCTTCGTCAGCCCACTTGTTCCTAGTTTTTGATTTTGGAAAATAAGATCACAGTTAACTAAAAGATGTTAATTTTCAAACTTGTCAGATAACGGAATACCTGGAAGTCATGATACTTTTTGTAGAACATTGTGAAATACTGCTATATCACACTTGACTAAATATAGAACTTTTTTGTTAAATTCCACTTTTATTTTTATATCCCAGTACTAGGAAAGGGTAGCTGGTGCCATATATTTAATAAATTTTTATTTTGAGAAAATGCTATCTGTTGCTTTACTTTTATCGTAACTTTGAATGAGACCTTAATTTTTGATATAGCATCCTAATTCAGAACAAAGAAGTCTGGAAGACCATGATTTAAGAAACAGAGTTCAGAAAGGATTCGTCATACTATGTTATAATAGATGAACTGAGATAAAGGTAAAAGTGGGTTTTGGTCTGAATTCAGATCTGCTAAGGAAGGAAAGTGTATTAATACATTTAGAAAGATTTTCAACAAGAGCTGCGGGAAAATTAAAGGAAAAACAAATTTCTGGTTAGCTCACAATTAACCAAAGAAATATTATTGGATACCAGAATATGCATTTTGTGACCATACCATACAGTAGAGATTTTTTTTTTTGAGATTTTTCTATAATTTTATTCTGCTAGCACTCCTGAAACCAAATAGCATGTGACAGAAGTAATCAAGATGATTGAAAATTGTGCCAAAAAGAAGTCTGTGCTGGTTCCTAAGGTGTATTTCTATGCAGTAGTTAATAGTTCAGCATTCTGTCCCAACTAAAGCAAGTATCAGGGGATCGATCCTGCATAGTCTCATGTACTTATGTGGCAAGTTGGACTGTACAGTTGTGTCTGGAGAATTGCTTGGATTTGCATTTTAGCCTTTATGTTGAATGATACTCTGCTGCAAGGTTATTTGTGAAGCAAAAAATGAATGTGGAAAGAAAGAAATCCCATAGAGTCTTTTCAGCCTCCATGATCAAAAATATTTTCATTAAATTTAATGTTTTCTACAATTTGGAAATACGAGAAATTGAAATTAGGTGATTACTTCTTATTTTGTTATGTTACTCTCAACAAGTTGTTCTTTATGTTTTTTTTCTTTTTTCTTTTTTTTTGAGACAGAGTCTTACTCTGTTGCCCAGGCTAGAGTGCCGTGGCATCAACCTAGGTCACAGCAACCTCAAACTCCTGGGCTCAAGCGATCCTTCTGCCTCAGCCTCCCGAGTAGCTGGGACTACAGGCATGCGCCACCATGCCCAGATGATTTTTTCTATATATTTTTAGTCGTCCAGCTGATTTCTTTCTATTTTTTTCTTAGAGATGGGTTCTCGTTCTTGCTCAGGCTGGTCTCGAACTCCTGAGCTCAAATGATCTGCCCACATCGGCCTCCCAGAGTGTTAGGATTACAGGCGTGAGCCACTGCGCCCGGCCTGTGTTTTTTTATTATTAAATTGGTGTTTTATTGGATTTTTGTTGGGAAATTGCAGAAGTTGGCCTCCATCCCAAAGATTCTGTATGAGGGAAAATGTGAGATATGACAAATTCTGACCTTTGCAATCACTTAAAAGTAATGCTTTTGGTTTCATCTTTGGTTTCAATTTCAATTATTGCAGATATAAATTAAGATAGTATAGTAAAATCTATTTTGTTAACATCCTACTTGATAGTAAAGTAAAATTGTTTATATTTTATCACATCTGTTTCCATGGATACATCATTAATAGAAATAAAAATTCTTGCAAAACTACAAATTACACTCTATTTTTGCATATTTCTGTATTCTAGTCTGTCTATGAACAGATCTCCTATACAACCATATTTTTTGAGCTTTTCAAAGGTCCAAGTGATACATTCCTACTTGAATGTTAAATTTACACACACAGCATAAGCTTTAGGAAATTTCATTTCAGAAATCACCATAGTGATAGAGCACTGCTGAATAATTTGCAGAACCCAGAGCTTTCTAAATGCTAAGCAAGAAGCAAGTATTTATACAAATAAAATTGCCTTCTGTTTGCTATGGATCAGAAATGGTTAAATAAACTGGTAGCTTTAATTCCCATACTTTGACTATGGACTTTCAGATCATCTGATACAAAAATAGCTAATCCTCAATTCCCTTACCTTTTAGAAAAAGCTTTAACTGCAGGAATTATAAATTAGGATTATCCTCAAAGAGAACATTGAGTTTAACTGTTGGAGCCAGTTTTTTAACATAGAAAGTTAAACTGTTGTAAGAAGGTAAAAGTCTGTGCTGTAACTTTTTATTTATTTAATCTTGGTATGTTAACAGGCAAAATCTTAAGGGTGTTAATAGTCTTTTAAAAAGTCATTAAGTTAATTTCTTAAGTGCCTTTTTTGCTGATTATACAAAGAATTTATCTTAGACCCGATTCACTTCTGTTCCAAGTCTATTCAGTATTTTTAACCACCTTCCAGACTTCTCACCTGAATGTTCCGTGAACATCCATAAGCAACATCTGCAGATTGAACTCACTAATTGCTACCTCAGCTACCTTCCTATTTTTACAGTACTGAAATGACGCTACCTCTCATTTAAGCCAAAAATCTGGGAGCCCTCCTTGACTCCTCTCTCATTTTGTCCCATACATCTAATTGCTCACCAAATCCTGTGAATTAAGGATTAAATGAATCTTTCTCTGCTTTCCATTCCCATATCTTTTTTTATTCAGATCTTTAGTATCTCTCAATGGCCTCCTAATCAATCTCCCTGCTTCCATATAATATCTCTATATTTAATTAGGTCTGTTTTTTTTCCTCACCATAAAGTATTATACTTTTGGCGGGAGGGGAATTACTACATATTTTAATTGAAGTAATTGCTAAGTATTTTGGAATTTTTTTGTATTGTTGTGAAAGGGATCTTTTTTTATATTAGCATGTAGGGTAGACATTGACTTTTACATATATTCTCTTATATATGTAATATACTTCACTTACCAACTTTCCAATTATATGTAAACTTTTTTGATTGAGTCTCTTGGATTTTCCATGTATAAAAACCTGTCATCAACAAGCAATGATAATTTTGTTTTCTCCTTGCAAGAGTTACATCTCTTAATTCTTTTGTATGTCTTTTACATTAACCAGTATTTTTATTAAATACTAAAGATGATCAGATACTAAATATTAAATACTGAAAATGATAGTATGTTTCTTTTCTGGTGGATTTTGAAGTTTTTTCAGAAAGTCTATACACCGGGCTCTTTTTATGAAAAATTTTGTTTTTAGTTAAATTTAAAAATTTAAATAGCGTACTTTTTATCTTCAAGTATCACAATAGTTCATTTTCTTTTAGTAACAGAATATATCATTCTTAAGAATATTTCTTATTTATTTAGAAAGTAGAAATAAAAGAACGTTGATGAAAAAAGATCTTAAAGAGAAGAAAAGATACTAAAAAAAAGGTAAGGTATTAATGGAGTTTATAAGGATTTTGATTATTCTAACTAGCCCATTATAAATGTAGGATTATCCTGATAAATGTGATATATTTAGTTATATATACAAATCATAAATTCATATGTTAAAAAATAATAAAAGAGCTTAGGGATGAATTGTATTCTTATTTGGTCTGTCAGTCATGTAATAAGGAGCATTAGAGATGAGTTATTTATGTATTTATTTATTTAACCTCTTATTTAAAGATTCATTTATTTATGTGTTTTCTGAGCCAGCCAGGAAGCCATTCCGTACTGCTCAAAAAATATTTTTTTTAGTCAGTGAGTGAAACCTATATGGGACCAGTATCTATGTGTCTCTTAGAGTAACTCCAATTAAGATTCATATTTTATCCCTGCCTTCTAGTTCGAAATGAGAAGTTATGAAAAAGTGTACAGAATCCTGAGAATGGTGGGTGAGATTACTGGGAATTAAAGGGAGACTTCTATCAATCACTTGCTAGGGTTAATGTTCCATCATGCCTTCACAGGATGCTCTCCACTGGTCAAGAGTAATATTAAGTAATTTTAATTGTCTTGAGAAAAGTACCGAAGGTTGATTAAGAAGTAAGGGTACATCTTAGTCCATATTGATCTTATTCAGTAGCTCATAAGGGTGTCTATAGGAACAACTGGTGAATTTTGAAGTTCTTTTGGGAAGTCTACAGACTAAGCTATTTTTATGATAATATTTTCCTATGATCATATCAGTGGCCTGCTTTGATTTTTGACACAAATGCATGTTTTTACTGTGATTGCAATGCTGATGTATGTCTGCTTGATCTTTCCAAATGCACATTAGTTGGGTTAGCATGTACAGTTGTTATTTCAGGAGTCTTTACTATTATAGTTCTTAAACTTAAAATTAAAAACAAATTTATACTCCATATCTTTCTAAAAAGGATTTAACATTGCTAGGATAGTTTACTTTGAGAATATTGAGGTTTAAAAACTGTAAAAGAAATGCTCATTTTAACATACTGAATTTTTGTTGATGGTAGAACATTCCATTAGAATTACAAGGAGGCAGCTAGAAATATGGTTTTGAAAAGCAAAACCATACTTAGGAGAGCATTCAAGGCTGGAGACACAGATTTTGGAATCCATGGGAATACATATGTTCTCCAAAACCTTGGAACGCACCCACGTTTAGGCTATGGGGAGAAGCATGACCATTGATGGGAATAAGTGGCCAGAGAAGTAGAAGGGTAGAGGGCAAGGATACAGAAAGTTTTCAGGAAATAAGAGTACTCAACATTGTCAGATGCTACAGAGTAATCAATCAAATGATAGCTAACACTAGTAGAGTGTTGGATTTTCAAGGTATTTTCATATATGTCTGATCTCACTTGACCCTCCCAAAAGATACATGAAGTAGGCAATACGTGAACACTAATAACTAACCATTGCATTTTGTGATTAAAAGGTCCTTTTTAATATTAGAGCAATTTCTTAATTTAAAAATCCACTATACTCATACTAATTGATAAAAAGATGAAATTTAAGAAAACAGGCAAAGAATATGAATTGGTATTTTAAAGGAGATGATGTTCAAAGGGTGATGAATATGTGAGGAGATGCTCAATGACAAAACAAGATGCAAGTTAATCCTCCCCTCTTTTTTTTTCCTGCAGATGTCAGAAGAGACAGATAATGTTGTAGCAGCAAAAGTTATAGATGAACATCTCCAAAAAGGTGCACAATAAGTATACCCCAACTCTGAAATTCTTGGTTTTTGTTTTTAAAAGATGTAAATGATTAATCCTATCCTAGAGTTTCAACTGGAACTCTAGTTTTCAAAGGAATAAGTTTAAACAAAGTTAAACTTCCTAGATAATACAAGATAGGCATAAGGGAGTATGTAGAAAAGTCAAGGCAAGTAATAAAGATAAGTTCCATTTTCTCTTTCTGTCTCTGCAAACATGGAGAATCCATTAGTACTTGAGACTCTATGACCACAAAGATACATAGATACAGAACCTGCTTCAGGAAGCTTCAAATCTCAGGGAGAAAAGTACATAAATAATACTTGAATCCTTGTTCATTCACCAAGTAAATATTTATTGAGCACCTCTTATGTGCCATCTGCCATTGTATAATAAATTCTGGGAATAGAGTGTAAACAAAGCTGACTAGTAATTTTTAAATTATACCAAGGAATACTGCAGTTAAGAATGAAGATTCTCATTACCTATAGTGATTTAGCTTTATGCTTACTCTTTATTTCCACCATACTTTATGCAACCTTTAAGTACTTAAAGGCAGGGAGGGGGAAAAGAAAAATCCAAGGCGAAATGACCAAAAGGTCCTCCATTTTTTGATGTACCTAGGATTATACAACTTCTGTCTTTTTCAGTTCATCCAGTGGATCATCCAGGGGACGAGCAGAAAATAACACATGGCCTGGAGTGTACACAACAGCTGGAACATTCTTTACACCCTATAATACTGGTTCATTTCCTCTAATAGCTGGCAGAAGTAGGAGTCAGAAGGGTTACAGTGATATTACAAAACTAACATAAGTAGTTAAAATAGGTACCTAGAGACTTACCTCTCTTCAGATTTCTTTCTTTCCAGTTTAATCAAATAGAAGTAATCTGGCTTTGATATTTATATATTTCACAGAGATGTTTATATATATTGTGACTGTTCTCATGGATTTTCTTTCCTAAAAGGAAAATGATAAAATTTGCTCATCTAGGGTTTTTTTTTTTTTTAAGCCAAAGAAAGATTCTGTCCAATAGCTGAGGAAGCAGCAAAAGAATGTGACAGAGGATAATCTGGCTTTGATATTTATATATTTCACAGAGATGTTTATATATATTGTGACTATTCTCATGGATTTTCTTTCCTAAAAGGAAAAAGATAAAATTTGCTCATCTAGGGTTTTTTTTTTTTTAAGCCAAAGAAAGATTCTGTCCAATAGCTGAGGAAGCAGCAAAAGAATGTGACAGAGGATAGAGAAAAAGTCACAAAGAGAAACAAACTTGAGTCCTGATCATAGATGAAAATATTTATTCCAGATGGAGAAGGGGAAAGGGATGCCTATTAGTCTTAGATTCTAAGCTCTCATGGGGCAATGGCCCGGTTTTCATAATTGTCACAAGGCTTAGAAATGCATGCAACTAAGATATTTATTAAATGTTTTTGCTGCTATTGCTATTGACTTATAAGAAAGTATCATGAACTATATTGTGTTGGTTTCCTGATAGATTTACGTGCAGAAGAAAATCGAAACATAGTAAACATGTTGAGAGGCAAAGTAAGAGAAAAGTTTAAAAATGCTAAGGTAATGCTTTTTAAAATTTGCTATTTTTGAATACACTGTTTAAGTGAGACATATAGCGTAATAAACTTTTCTTTCTCAAAACGTAGCTGATATTCAGTCTTAGTATAGCTCCTTAATTCCAAAAAGTTTCAAGTTCTTTCTCGTGGTTTTTTTTCCCTTTTGTCCCATAACATTCCTATAATGTCAAACTTAAAGCCAAGAAAAATTAAATGATTTGATCACAGTAATAGTATTAATAATTATATATATAATGAATATATATATAATATATATATATATACATACACTTTTTAAAAGAAACATTGAAGAGGCTTGACTTTTATCCATTTTGGACAAAAGACTTATGAGCACAGTTATGTCTGTCTCTGTAGAGATTGATGTATGTTGTGTTTCAGATTAATCAAGGTGAAAAATCTTCAACTCAACACATTGATAAGGTATGTCAATGTTCTAAAGTGAATAACTTTTTTTCTTTACTTTTAAAAACAGCTTTATGGAACTCTACATATATCTTACAATTCACCCATTTTGAGTATATGATTTAATGATTTTTAGTTAACTTGCAGGATTATGCCATCAACACTATAATCCAGGTTTCATCACTCCAAAATAGATCTCTCATGCCCCTTTGCAGTCACTCTTTAATCTTACTTGGCATTACTTTTTATCCTAAAAAATTATAATAAAATATCATTAAAAGATTTACTTAGGCACGTTACAATGTTAAAGAGTTTATTTGAGCAGACGGCAATTAATGAATCAGGCAGTACCAGACTGTGGGTAGTTAGGGCTCTACCAAAGGGGCATGAGGGTAAAAGGTTTATAAGGTGCCAGCAGAAGCAAGGCAAAGAAAACATTTGATTAGCTAAAGTGGAGCAATAGCCTTAAAGTCCCTAGTTAGAGATTAGTTTGAAATTTCTGATTGGTAAAACTTAAGTTTCATTTTCCTTGAATATGACCATTCATGCTGAGTTGGTTTCAGTTTGCTTACATAGGAACTCAGGGCCCTAGAGCCACCTCAGTCTAATGGCCTTCCAACTAACTATTTTAACAATATTATAGGTGACCCCAAATTTACAGATTTTCAGTGTGTAATCAATATTTGAAAATTCAATTTGTAATCACATATTTGAAACTTGAAATGACTAAACAACTCATATTTTTGGAGAACTGTATTAGCAGTGGTTCCCAACCTTTTTGGCACCAGGGACCATTTTCATGAAAGACAATTTTTCCAGGGACTAGGGAGACAGGGGGGAATGGTTTCGGGATGATTCAAGTACATTACATTTATTATGCACTTTATTTCTATTATTATTACATTGTAATATATAATGAAATAATTATACAACTCATCATAGGTTAGGGACCCCTGATTTAGAGTACTAAGTAGCTGTAACAAAAAGATTAAAAGTAAAATGTCTTAATTGAGATAGAAGTTTTATTTCTCTCTAGTGTAACAGACAAGTAATACAGGCTGGTAGGAGAGTTCTCCCATCTCCAACATGTGATTTCCATCTCTGGGTCCAATGGTGAAGCTCCAGTTTTTTCATTTGCTAGCCAAAGGGAAAGGAGGAGGAAAGAACCAAAGGATTGCAGCTTGATCTTTTATGGCACAAGACCTGCAAATTGTACACATCATTGCCACTAAGCAAACGTGGGAGAAGTATCTAGGTATTCAGCTATTATTAGAGAGATGGGAGAAAAGACAGTAATGAATAACTAGTAGTTTCTGCCACAAACATCTGAAGTATTTAACTTCACGAATTTTGGCTGGGCACTGTGGTTCATGCCTATAATCCCAGCGTTTTGGGAGGCCGAGGTGGGAGGATCACTTGAGGCCACGAGTTCAAGATTAGCCTGGGCAACATAGTGAGACCTTGTCTCTACAAAAAATAAGAAAAATTGCCCAAGCATGCTATAGTCCCAGCTACTCTGGAGACTGAGGCGGGAGGATTGCTTGAGCCCGGGAGTTTGAGGCTGTGGTGAACTATGATTGCACCACTGCACTCCAGCCTGGGCAACAGAGTGAAATTCCCTCTCTTAAAAAAAACGATTTGCAAATTTTAAAAAGTAAAGATTTTTTTTTTTTGAC